TCTATCTATCTATCTATCTATCTATCTATCTATCTATCTATCTATCTTATACAGTATCAGTTAGTAACACTTTCAGCTCACGTCCCATACATTTCCCCCTTCCACTCCCCGTTACTGATGACAGCCAAAAAGAAGGAAAGGAAAGGAGGAAGATCTTGAAGGCTGACACCCCTTTTAATTAGGCTAATGTGAATTCCTCTCATCCACATTCAGCAAAGTCCCGGCAAACGGTCTTTCAAGGGTGAATTACAAGCACAGACCTTATCAGGCTTGGGGAGTTGCCAGGCCAAGAGCTTCCGAGAGCAACGCTCTACTAGAAAATACTTGGCAAGGAGTCACGACCAAATCTTCACACTAATTAAATGAACTAATTGTCTCCTGCAACCCCCACTCCCCATTCGCTCCTCTTTATTCCCTATGGGAGGGGGGCATTCACCGTCCACCTGTGCTTTTACTCCCAAATTGACCCTTGTTCCTTAACTGTTTGCTTCTCCTGGCAGCTCTGCGCATGCGCACATTGGGAACAGGCTCCAGCTGTTCTTCTTCCTCACTGATCTCCAACTCCAAAGGCAGCTGACAACTGTTGGAGGGCCCTGGCTTGGCTCCAACTCTGCCTCTGACGCAGAGCCCTCATGAGAGCCTTCCCCAGACTCCAGGACCGGCCCATGTTCCTCCTTAACCTCCTCACTGTCCAAGTCTGCCACCAGCTCTGCTGGCCGCTGGTGGGGCACAACACAACAAGACCTATATGGGTAGAGTTCAGATTGGCGGCATAGTTCCTAAGGGCACAGTTGTTTGAGTGACTGTAGGAGCATTTCACCACAGGGCTTCTTGCCGACAGATGCTCCCACAAGAGACAACTGCCCATGGGACTACACTACTCCAGTGAACGGGGAGAGGGGAGGGCCTGCCGATTCTTGGGAGTGGAATATGGGAACTGCTTAAATGATAAAGAAAAAGAAGGCTGTTCAATGCAAAGGAATGTGGGGTCTTTGATGGTCTCTGAGCTTGGTGGTTTTCTTGCAGACGTTTCACTACCTCGCTAAGGGTCATCATCAGTGCTGGAAGGAAGTGGGTTCACTCTTTGTTTAAATACTCCCCTCTCCTCTAGCACTGATGATATTACCTAGTGGGCTCGTGAAACATCTGCAAGAAAACAATCAAGCTCAGAGACCACCAAGGACCCCACAGTCATCTTCCTCCTCCTCCTCCTCCTCCCTTCGAGCACAGAGAACGCACTTTTGTTAGCTCACAAAACATCTACAATAAAACCACCAAGCTCAGGGAGCAGCAAGGACCCCACAGTCCTCCTCCTCCTCCTCCTCCTCCTCCTCCTCCCCCCCCCCCCCCCCCCCCCCCCCCCCCCCCCCCCCCCC